AATCCTAGATGTGCTATGCTGATGACAGCCTGAAAGGGGCTGAAAATGACAGAAAACGAGGAAGCAAGCCTGGAAACCATAATGTAACTTTGTTTTTAACACAATCCCCGCTGCAAAATAACTGTGCAGAAGGCTTTTATTTTATTTTATTAAAGACACTCTATGGCAACCTTGTCTTGACTAATGGAACTCAGCGCTCTTTGTGTTGGTCTTTCTTGTCATCTTGCTGAAAGCTGTGCTCATTTGTTCCAAATCATGGTCATCCTTCAGATGGCAAATTTTTCAAATACAAATGGGGGATGGATAAAGCAATCTTGGAGGTAATTCCTTATGTAAAAATTCAAGCTTCAGGTTTTAAAATTTGAGCCTAAGCGTAATACTTAAGTGATAACCAGAACGGTTTACTCCCTTGACTCCTCCCCTAATTTTCAACTACCAAATGGTTGGTACTGCAGGTCAAAGTTCTCAGTATTTTGTCCTCAGAACTGGAAAAAAGAATGCTATATAATTTCAATAAAGGACAGTGTTAATAATATTTAAGAGTTCACCTCTTTGATGAGCATCCATTCAGAGTAATTATTTTAATAAAGCCATACACAGATGCAAAGCTACCAAGCAATCATGAAGAGAACTACGGTACATGTCACAACCATACTCAGCAAGGAGCTGTCACCACCTTCCAGATACAAGCACATGGCCACGTGGATCCATTTCTCCCCCTAAGGAGTTAACCATGAAGAAGAGAAGTAAGTAAGTGAATAAAAGAAAGTTAACTTCTGATTCACATTTTTCTCCCAGGAACATAAACTCAGAAGTAAATAGTACAATCTAAGAAGATTTAAGTTTGATTAAAGCTTAGTAAGTTTAATGCCACTTGCTTTTGATAAGCAAGCTGGTTAATAATTAAATAAATGAAGATAATCTATTCAGGATGGATTTAAACCACTACCATAAAGAATCTTAAGCACACTGCTGACATTTTGTTGTGCTGTAAAACACAGTCTGTTCTATGTGATCATGAAATGTTAAGGAAATCAGTGCTATACTAAAGCTAAAGAATTAATGCTGTACTCAGCATCTGAAAGATAATTACTGCATCTAACGGACTATATCTACAGGGTTTTATATTTTTTAGCTTCCTAAACAATATTAAATTACACACTAACTTAAGGGCGTGAACTAATGATTCTACGCATGCTCTCCTCGCAGAAAAGACAGTGTCACTAACCTAACCTCTATCTACAGCACCCGGGTTCCTATTTTCTCCCCATAGTGGTCATCAACCACACCAATCTATCGGCGTCATCCCTACTGACCAACAGCGAGATGTCCTGAAGGCCACTGGGTTCGTCTCAGAATAAAGCAAAGGTCCACAGTGGGTTTAAACCTCAACTAATCAGCTCATGAGGACAGTTAACAGCCCACTCTCACGTGACTGCTTCATGGGCGGGAGGGGGTGCTAGGATGTGAAGAACGATTAAGAGTCTTGGACAATAACCAAAAAAAAACACAAGACATACTATTTACCACAGATGGAATCTGATAGGAGTGGACAGAGAGAAGAAAGAAAAGAGAAGACACAAAATGCCCTCAAAGTGACTCACTCAGAAAGCTGCCTTTGAGCTGGGCAACAAGTGGGGCCTCAGGGTCAGGAAATGCAAGGGAAAGGAAGACTTAGGCCTTGGAAGACCTCAGATCAAGAGAAAGAGTAACAACAGAAAGCACACTTTTCACAGGTTTCCAAAGAACTTTAACTCTTTCAGAAACGTTACCCACCCCGCCCCCGGAAGAGCTAGTACTATTTCACCAGGGCCAACGTCACAGTGTCATGCTTCTTTTCTGATTCTTAACACAATGCAGCCTGGCACTTTCTAGCAGTCTGAACAAAGTCACATAAGTCTGCGTTCTCTTTTCCTCAGTGACATCTTTAACTTCAACATAATCACAAAAAATGCCCAAGATGAAAAAGAATCCAACATATATAATCCCGTATCATCTTAAGCTGCATTTAAAAGATGTTTCTTTTTTTCCTTTAAAAGATAATTAACTTTTTTCCTTTGGATGATAAGTTGTGTTGTTTTAGGCATTTTAATTATTGCCTTCTTATTAAGTTAGCTTGCAGGTTTGATTCATCTAAGTGAACCACCTGAAGTCAGAGTCATCACCCTGAGTTACTTGGAAGAAATCAGTTAAATGTGGCAGTTCTCATCCTGAAATGAACTCTATACAGCAAACCACAGTACTGAGCCTCTATTCTAATTTGTCTTAGTGCTCAGTTTAAGACAAATAAACCAATCTCATAAACCAGTTTACACATGCCTACAGAGGCCTCTTCTGAAGTCATGAGCCAACAGCCTTCAACAATTTGACACCATGACTTCTCTTGGACCACTTCCCTAGTAAAAATACCCAGTGACTTTGGCCGTCATTACTTTGGCCAACCCAGGGCCACGAAGATCACTGTTCTCTGCTTTACCTTTCAGGTAAAGAAGCTGAAATGATGAAACCAGTTGTCTAAATACAACCTCCAATATCTGTATAATATTGTGTGTTTACAAAGCTGCTCAACAGCCATAGTAACACTCCTAAGCAACAACAAAACTTTCTAGAGGAGGCAAGGGTTCCATCCCCATGGACTGAAGAATGACCTGACTTTGAAGAGTGAAGCTGTCAGCCCAAGGTCAAACATCTTTACATGAAAGAAATGGTACAAAAACTTTAATTTTCTCAAATCAGGACCTCTTTCCATAACATAACATTAGAGGAGTGTATGTACTGGGAGGCAGGTGGGGGGATGGGAATCAACCGAGGAAGGACTAGCTAAGGAAAAGCAACACAATCTGAACTTGGATATTGGTTGTGTCTGTGCACAGAAGGCCTTGATCTTACTCCTACCTGCTAGCTAGCCTCATCTCCTACCTTGCCTTGCAACCCCAACAAATGTTCTTTGCTGCTGTCATTCCGAACTCCTAGTGGCATCCCAAAGGCGCCCAATCATCTCAGTCTTTTTGCCTCTATAAGTGGGATTTCCTCTGCCTGACATGCTCCCCACCCATTTCTTCTTTTAGTCTGCTTCCACTTGACCTTTAAACTCAGCTCAAATGACATCTTTTTCAGGAGCTGACCTCCTTACTGCTCTCGGAGCACTTTGATTACCTTCCATCATTGCTCCGTCCTGGATGATTCTGTCATCTGCCCCCTTCCCTAGACTTAAGTTCTGGGGTGGGGTGTTGAAGGAGAATGTAATTCGTCTTCCCTGGTATCTGACATGTGGAGCAGACACTCAGTAAATGTTTGTGAACTAAATGAATGAATGTGCCAGTACTCAGGAGTAGCTCAACCATGCTTCTGGGGTAGAGAACTTCAAACAATTCGAGTGCAAACCATTGCCCTCCACCTTCACTTTCGCTACCTGGATTCCTTTCCCAGGCTGGCGGCTCCAGGAGAAGGCCATGAGAACATCACCCAAGACAAAGTACTGTCAGAGAACTACAATCCAGGTTAGGTTTGTGGGGTTTCTTGTTTTTGTTTTATTTTCATTTTAACTGGAAAACCTTTGGTTCTTTATACCACGTGGAGGCATTTCAGATTGTTATTTTGGGAGGCAAAGTGGCAGCCACAGTTCTGGAGTATTCCCCAGGGGTCAGACAGCATAACTGTTAAAGAGTGTGAGCCCTGAAGTCTGAGTTCAAATGTGCCACGTGCCAACTGCGGAACTTTGGGTAAGTTACCCTATACTACCTCCTGCCAGTACATATAAACTAGGGTGCCTGTGACCAGCATTCATTCCACAGATATCTACTGAGCACCTACTGAGGGCCAAGTGCTGGCGGTCCCCGGTGACCTGGCCATCTGACCTAAAGTATACTCTCATCCTATCACCTGCTGTATTTCCTTCACTGAACTTATGACTACCTGAAATATTCTCGTTTGCTGATTTGCTCCCCCCCACCTTCCCCATGAGAAGGTAAACTCTATGATGCCAGGGGATTTGTCTCTTGTTCATTCTTTGCCTCTCCAGTGACAAGCACATACCTAGTACACGACTACTCAACACGTTTTAAAAGGACTGGGAACGACTACGTGGTCCCCACTGCCCCATAACACTTGTACTTCAGTGGGGAAGGCAGGGGAGAAAAAAAAACATAAAAAGTCTAAAGCATTCATCAAAAACTAATGATGTAATGTATGGTGATTAACATAACAATAAAAAATTATTAAAAAAAAAAAAAGTCTAAAGCATTTTACACAGGGCCCTGGCTTGCCACCAGCCACAGGGCACACTGGGTTTCCCCTGGCTCCAGGTCCAGGCTGCTCTGGGCGGGAAAGGACCTCGGCCCCCGTCGGCCCCCCCGCACGCCCCCATCCTCACAGAAGTGGGCCACGGGCACCAGGAGGCCAGGGGAAGACAAGCAGAGCCCTGTCCCATCACAACTGCGGGGGCGCTTCCATTCATTTATCCAACAGATGTTTATTAGGCTCCTAAAGTGTGCTGGGCACCCGGCAGACAAACGGCCAGGTCCTGTCCTCATGGAGTTTCCCTTCTAGTGCAGAAACGCAGTAAACAAGTGCGTAAAACGGTCCTTTGAGGTAGTGTGAGTGCCCTGCCGGCGCGGAACAGAGGTGTGACTGGGGACGACTGCAGGTGTCCGCCGCGGGCCGCCCGGAAGAGGCAGCCCCGGGGAAGGGCAGCCCCGCGGAAGGCGGCGCGCGCTCGGCCCGAGGACACCCCCCCTCCCCCCCCCCCGGCTAGGCTGGACGGTGACCGCGCCCAGCGCCTCGAGGGCCGGGCGCGCGCGGGGAGGCTCGGCGCGAGGCGCGGGCCCGGGACGCCCGACGGACTCCGGGCGCGGGGCGGGCGCGCCGTCGGGCGGGGCGGGGACCGCGGGCCGGGCGGGCACCCACGTCACCGCCGCGCCGCCGGTGCCTGCGAGCGCGGAAGGGGGCGCGGGGCGGCAGGGCCCGGGCCCGCGGCCGAACATGGCGGGCCTCCGGCTTACCTCGGAACTTGAGCTCGTGCTGCGGCTCGAGGCTCAGGACCTGCTCCACCTTCGCCATGTTCCTCAGCGGCGAGACACCTCTGCCGGGGAGACCCCCTGAGAGGTCACCTGAGGCGGGAGGCGTTAATGCTGCGCCCCCTTTAAATCTGGAAAGGGGGGGGCCGGCCGGGACGCGGGCGGGGGTCGTCTACGGGGTGCGCGCGGGGGGGGGCGCGGCCTACGCGGTGCAGGCGCAGGGGCGGAGGGCGAGGGCGAGGCCGCGGTGCCCGGCGAGCGCACGGCACGCACGCACGCAGCGACGCACGCACGCACGCACGCACGCAGCGGGCTGGCCGGCTGGGCCCTGCGCGCGCTCGGGCGGCGGGAAGCTGCGCGCGCGGAGCCCCTCCCGGCGCTGTGCGCAGGCGTGGCGCGGCCGCAGGGCGGGGCTACCGGGTAGCAGGGGGCGGGGCGTCGTGCAGGTCTGGAGGCGGGGCCGTCCGGGATGCTCAGAAGTGAGGACAGTCATCTCAAAGGTTATTTACTCAGGGCCCATGGGGACCAACCATTGTGTAAAGTGCTTTAGTCAATAATAATAAAAAGAAGCAGCTTCGACTTTACCCTTGCTTATGTAGTGCCAGGCACTGGTAGAGACTGAATAATAATGAAAGTACTATTTATTCTTATCATAAGCATGTTTATAAGTGAGTGGTATGTGCTAGGCACTGTGACGTATGGAAGGCAATAAATATATAGCAAGCTACCAATTATTGCTTGCTGCTTTTGTGCCACTCTGCTGAACGCTTTCAATAACAGCACCATCCAATGAATGAAAGCTACTCTCTATTAAATGTTTACTATGTAACAAGCACTGTACTGCATCCTTTACTAATACAAGCAACAAACATTTACAAATAAAATGATCAGAGAAATTGACCTGGTTCCTACCCTCCTCTAACTAGAAACAGCTGGAGAGCCAGCCTCTGAAAAAATAACCACACAAATAAATTATGTTATTAAAAATTGCTGGGAACCTAAATCTGCTTGGCCTCCAAAGTGAACATTACATCATTATTGCTATTTAAATATTATGTCATTATGTAATGTTTACTACATAAAACATGTATTCTTAAGGGGCGTCTGGGTGGCTCAGCCAGTTAAGTGACCGACTCTTGATTTCAGCTCAGGTGGTGATTTCAGGGTCATGAGATCCAACCCCGCTCAGGCAGAGTCTGTTTAAGACTCTCCCAGCCCCTCCCCACCCTGTGCGTGTTTGTGAGCTCTCTCTCTCTCCCTTTCTCTCTGTCATTCTCTCAAATAAATAAATAAATCTTTTAAAAAATATGTATGTTCTTAATCGTCTCCTATACATATATATATCTAGAGGAAACAAACAGCGAATAGTAAATGTTGACCCTACTGTGGTGGGCATCTGGGTATTCTTTATACTATTCTTTCTACTTTTCTGTATACTTGAAATTTTTCATAATAAGTTTTTTAAAGATAATCTTTGTCTTTTAACTAGAGCATTTGGTCCATTTACACTTATTATATTTACTAATACATCTGGATTTATTTCTACCACCTTATTTTGTGCTTTCTATTTGCCGCGCCGGTTTTTTTTTTCCTTTTTCCTCTCCTTTCTTCCTTAGGGCTGATTTTCTTTTTTCTCATTCTCTTTTCTTCCTCTTATACACTATCTCTGTTGTTTTCATAATTACCCTAGAAGTTGTGACATGGGTACTTATGAAAGTCCAATTTTTAAAATGTCTTTACCATGGTTCATTAAAATACAGGGAATTTGGGACACTTTAACTCTAACCACCCATCCCCCAAATTATATGCCTTAATTGTGGTGTATTTCAGGTTTAATCTTCTCCTTTTCATCCCATAAGTCATTACTAAATTGTTTTATATGGTTGATGTTAGTTTAGACTCAACCACACAGTTACCAATTTCTTTCCTTTTTTTTTAATATTTTATTTATTTATTTGACAGAGAGAGATACAGTGAGAGAGGGAACACAAGCAGGGGGAGTGGGAGAGGGAGAAGCAGGCTCCCCGCGGAGCAGGGAGCCCGATGCGGGGCTCGATCCCAGGACCTGAGCCGAAGGCAGACGCTTAATGACTGAGCCACCCAGGCGTCCACAGTTACCAATTTCTTTGCCCATCTTTTCTTCTTGCATCTCAGAACTTAACAACCAGGATCACGTTCCTTGTGCCTGAAGTACATTCTTTAAATTCTATTTCACTGAGGGTTTATTGGGCCAAACTCTGTTTTTGTTAATCTGAAAATGACTTTATTTTGCCCTTGTTCTTGAAAGATATTTTGGTTGGTTTACTAAGGTTTCCAGCTGCCATTGTTACTGTTGAGATTTCAGATGATAATCTCATCATCCCTTCAAAGATGGTCTGTTTTTCCACCTATTCTGGTGTTCTGCAGTTTTACCATGATGTGTCTTTTTATTTATTGTCTTAGACTATTCGGGCTTCTATAACAAAATGCCATGGAATGGATAGCTTCGATAGCAGCAGTTATTTCTCACGGTTCTGGAGGCCAGGAAGTCCAAGACCAAAGTGCTGGCAGACTCTATGTTTGGTGAGACCCTACTTACTGGTTCACAGTCTGACATTCTCCTGGGCTCTGGGGCTTCTCTCTAAGGACACTAGTCCTGTTGTTGAGGGCTTCACCCTCATGATCGAAGCTCCTACAACGCCCCACTTCCCAACACCATCCCATGGGGGATGAGGTTTCCACATAGGAATTGGGGGGCGTGGATACAAACCTTCAGTCTATAGTCTATAACACTTACATTGCTTGAATTCTCAGGGTTTTCTGTATTTGTTGTTTGGTATCTTTCATCCTTCTGGAAAATTCTCAGACAACATGAAACATTGGATTTTACTGTTGTAAGATACACCTAACACATAATTTACTAGCTTACCTATGTTAAGTGTGCCTTTCAGTGATATTGAATACATTCACACTGTTGGGCAACCATCACCACCATCCATCTGCAGAACGCTTCCTCTTGTAAAACTGGAACTCCACACCCAGTAAACAATAACTCCCCATTCCACCTTCCCATGACCCCTAGTAACCAGGGGTTACTCTACTTTCTGTCTTTATGAACTTGACTACTCTAGAAACCTCACAGAAGTGGAATCATACCGTATTTGTCCTTTTGTACTGGGCGAATTTCACTTAGCATAACGTCCTCCAGGTTCATCCATGTTGGAGCATGTGTGACAACATCTCTTTTAAATATTGCCTCAGCCCCATTCTCTCACTCTTTCTTCTGGAAGTCTGACTAGTAGTTTATTCACCCAGTGTTATTCAAACTGTAGGTTGTTTCCCGAGAGTGACTTATAAAATCAATTTAGTAGGTTGTTACCAGCACTGAGAAAGAAAATAAATAGCAAATATCAGTGTGCTGTATTATTTCATGAAACTTTTGTTTGCAGTTCTATTTATTAACATACTTATACATATATCTATGTAGTGAGTCACAAATAAAACGCATTTATTACTGTGGACTGTGGTAAAGAGAGAGAGAAAGAGGAGTCTGTAAAATATATAATTCTCCATATCTCTTTACTTCTCTGTCATAGCTTAATCTCTCATTTTTATGTCTCACATCACGGCTATTTCTTCAGACCTCTCCTCCACTCACTAATTTTCCTTTAGGCTGCTGATAAACCTGTTCCAGGTATTTTTCTTTTTTTTTTTTTTAAATAATTTTTTATTGTTATGTTAATCACCCCAGGTATTTTTCATTTCAGGATTTTTTTTTGAGTCTATAAGTCCTGTTTTGGTTTTTTTTACATATCTTAGTGGTCACATTGGCAGGTTTCTAACGTTGGTTTTAGCCTCCACCCCTCCCCAGGAAATGGTGCCCTCTGAGGTGTGAGGGCTGGTCTCCACTGTTGTCACCTGGGGCACCCAGCAGTGGCAAGTGGCCAGGTCTGCTTGATGAGGGAAGTCCATGTTCTCGGGCCCAGGTAGAACTTCACATCTGCCACCACAGCCACTTCATAAATAAACCCAGTGAGGGAGCAGTGGCACCACTGGGAAAAAGGACTGTCATCTGCAAAAGGTGTCACGTGGTCCACTCGATTACTGGAGAGTCACTGCTTCCGTAGATGCACTTGGGTGGGCATGCACATGGGACACAGGTATCTTCCACTGTTCCCATCCTGAGAACCATCCACACCCCTCCTTCCCACACCTCTCTCACCCAGCCGAGCTCCGCCATGTCTGTCCCTGGCCACGGCTGCCAGGGAATGTACATTTGTGCTCTCTGGTCATGGCTCAGCCAGACAAAGTAGACATCCCAATATACTGCTTGAGATTTTGGAAAATCTATGAAGTCCATTTAGGTTGTAATTCTGCCACCTGCCTAATTAAATTTGGGGTATGATTTCCAGCGAGGGCAAAAAACTATAGCTACTAGAAATAAAAGATTATTTTCGGGCTCTATAGAATCTCCCTGGTTTTCTGACTGTGCGTTAAGCTTCGTGTTTAAAGAGCTTGTCACTTTCTTTCTGCAAGAGCTCCAGTGAACTCAGATGCAGCCACCCCACCCCACAGTCTTCTGTCCTCACAGCTACAAAAGCGTGGCATCCACTCAGCTCTTCGAGGCCCTTCTTCTGTGGGCACTGTGGCACAATCCAATGTGGATGATGACGTAATAAGTAGTGACGCCACCATGTGTTACTGGTGGACTCCTTGTAACCTTTGCTATGCTAAACTAGCCCTCTGGAGAAAAGAATAACTCTGATCTGTAGTTGTTTCAGATTTCTGTGGTGCAAACGCTCCCACCATGACTGACTTTAAGCTACTTACGGGATGTCACTGAACAGAGTTGAACCAGTCACCAGCTGGTATGAGCACACTCCAGCCCAGCCCTGCTGGGATCCCGTCCAGCTGACACTGCTGTCAGGCACGAGGATGTGGCCACATCAGTCCCAGAATACTTTCTTCAAGGGTCTGTGTCCTGGGACCACTTTCAGTACCAAGTGGTGTCAGTCAAGGTCCAGCCAGGAAAGCAGAAATTACAACAGTTTTTTTTTTTTTTTTAAGATTTTATTTATTTATTTGAGAGAGAGACAGAGAGCATGAACAGGGGGAGGGGCAGAGGGAGAGGGAGAAGCCGACTCCCTGCCGAGCAGGGAGCCCAATGAGGGGCTCAATCCCAGGACTCCGGGATCATGACCTGAGCTGAAGGCAGATGCTTCACCGACTGAGCCATCCAGGCGCCCCACAACAGTTATTTTGACAAAGATCATTTAGAATAAGGAAATGGTTAATCAGGTAGTGAAAACCCGTAAAAGCCAGAAGAGAAGACAAAGGTATCACAAGGCTAGTGAAGTGAATGGGGAGCTATTGTTTACTGGGTGTG